GGTTAAATATGGCCGGGGGGGGGGGGGTTTAGGGTTTTTAGGGCTTTTTAGGGCTTTTTAGGGTTTTTAGGGGTTTTCGGGTTTTTAGGGTTTTTAGGGTTTTTGGGGCTTTTAGGGTTTTTAGGGTTTTTAGGGTTTAGGCTTTAGGGTTTAGGGTTTTTTGGAGCAGGCTCTTCGCGAGAAGCTCCTGGACTGGCTGAAGGTGCAGGTGGGTAGTTCTCGAAACCAGGGTCTCTTTTTTGGGTCCCCAGCATAGTAAGGCACCCTTATAGTTAAAGCGGAACCAAAAATGGACCATCACCCAACATAGTAAGGCACCCTTATAAGTAAAGAGGACCCCAAAATGGACCATAATTCAGAGAACTACCCAGGTACCTCCCGGCTTCCGCGCGGGATCCCCAGAAAAGGACCGGAGAGAGTCCTGGCTACACAGCTACTGCCACGACGAAGAGGGGCGGATGACCTTTGGAAGTGACAAAGAAACACTTTCATATTGAAGGGTTGATGAGTCGTGTCAGAAGCCTAAACCCTAAACCCTGAACCCTAAACCCTAAACCACTCAACTGAGGACTGAGGAGGCTCTGAATTACATGCTCTGCCGCATGCATATCCTCTCTGCAGACAGCCTGGTCTACACCACGGCGGGCCACTCCAAGGATCAACTGAAGCGCCAGCTCCCCTCCATGGAGCCGGAGCCTGCAGGTGACCGTCACAGGTGTAGGGCGTCTTGAGTGCTGGCGAAGGCGTGTTTCTTGACACGGGTAGAAGCACCGAAAGGTGTCGAAGTCGAAGCCCGTGGACGGACAAATAGCTCGGCACGGTGCGGCGTGCAGGTGGACCTCCCCAGCGGCACATCTCACGGCCCCTTTTCCTTCATCGTTTCGACAGCAAGCTTCCGCCACCTCGTGTCAAATCTCAGCCATGTGGATAGCCTCTGCTTCCTCAGTAATGCACAGTACAGGCCAAAATATTTTCCAACATTGTTCCTTACCGTTCCTTAACTAACTATACGAAAATATGCCCCACCCCCGCCCCACCCCAAGCCTATTCTACTTATTGAGGCCCCCAAAATTAGCTATTTTCCGCAGATCTGACTTCAGAGGGCGGAAGCTTGCGTGACGTGGGCAGCAAAAGAAAGACGTGCTCGGCTCCTGTGTATGCCTTAAAGTATAGGGGCCTAAAGAATTGCCTATGTTTTTGTTTGGCGGCTCCTTATTACAACTATAGTAGAATACACCCCAAAACCCTATTCTAATTATTAAAGCACCTACACTATCAGGATTACCGGCGGGGTCATGGCAAGTGTATAGGGTTTGAGAGATGCTTTTGCTGTTTTGGCCGCCAGGTGGCAATTACACCGTTTCCGTTCCCGTACCACAACATCATCGCCGTCTTCCTGCGGGGCACCTGACGTCTCAAATCTTTTTGGCTCCTTGGGGTTCTCGCGTGTCCAGGGTTTAGGGTTCAGGGTTTAGGGGTTTAGGCTTTGCGCAACTCTGAGGCCCCTGTGAGGACGTGTTCACGCTTCGTTCAACAGCTTAGCAAGGAAAGGGAAAGTCGACCAGCTGCAATCATAGCAAGAAGCCACAACCAGCAACAGCAGAAGCGACAGTTATAGCAGTAGTTGCGTAGGACCTGCGGCACTGCAAATAACAGCTGTAGTAGCAGTAGTAGAAACAGTACTGCTGAGACTAGAGTGATGCGAGTTTCAGAAGCACATCGAGAGCTTGCCAAGGTGGATGTACACAATTCTGTGCCCCATTTTGATCAACGGAATCATCATGGACGTGACTCTTCGAGGTCCAGACTTCGGATATCTGCATCTAGCATTTAGACGCTTGAAGACTTCACAATACTCTTCCAGCATATTCCCGATGTCTTTAGACGTATATTGCAGTATATTGTGCAAGTTTCAAGCGAGCCCATGCTCCAAGCATCCGACGCTTCGTTCGACATGCCTTGTCGCAGCATGTCACCCCGCAATATCTGCATGCCGACGGCCAGAACCCAGAGAGTTTTTTTTTTTGGAGCCTCTCCAGTTTGCATCTGTGATTGGAGTTTAGGGTTGAGTATAGTCCATTGCAGTAAAGAAGTACTACACTATAGTCTCAAATGGGCTGTGCTGTGCGATCTATTGGAGACTTGAGTTTCACGCAAAATGTTTCCCGGATGCAGGCGGCTGAGACTTGGGAGTTGCGGGTCGAATTCGATCTTCGAGCTCCGGTTTTTCCGCCTGAGGGTGCCCGGCATTGGTAAGGGAAAGTCGAAGTTTGGGTTCAGGGTTTAGGGCCGTTTAGGGTTTAGGGTTGAGGGTTTAGAGTTTGGGGTCGGGGGTTTAGAGCTTAGGGTTGGGGGTTTAGAGCTTAGGGTTGAGAAGCCATGCATCTCAGCCTAAGCAGTGCAGTCAGAATCGACAAGCCTTCCTCGACGTGACTTTTGTCAGGGGTGTTTGTCTTCGTGTCCGTGTTCTGCTACCACGCGCTGAACCACATCGGTGACAACTTGGAGGACTTGCGTGTATCATGTTAAGTTATAGTACATCAAGGTTATATACTTTTTTGAAGCAGAAGACCGCCTGTGTTTTGAAATATCTTATAGTTAATCGAAGTATGTTTTCGTTGACCCTGTTCATCATCACCGATATTCGCTTCGTGTTCATAGATAGTCAATGTCGCACCATTATAACTCTTGTTACCATTATCGCTATCAGCCGCTATCAGCCTAAGTATCTTCATCGCTATCTCGCCCACCGGGATGCAGCTAGCAGTGTCATTCCCATACTCGGTGTCAATTTCGTCTCCGATCGTTTTTCTAATTTTTCCCGGTATGATCACTGAATCCTCACTCTCTTGAAGCACGCACGTGCATGAGCACAAGCACACATTCGCAGTTGAAAGCATGAGCATGAATATTTACACTTGTGCGTGATTGCAAGCATACAAGCACATTTGTGTGCACATGATACTGCTAAGTTAACTCTATGCTTGTAATGGTTGCAGGACGTGGTTAAAAACACCAACCCCTAAACACCATAACGCTACAGCACTGAAGCCGAAACCCAATGCTCTAAAGCCCTAAGCGTCCCAAGGCATGAGCGATTCGTAAGGGCTTCTATATGTTCTACTAGAATTTCCCCAGACATCCTATTCTAACGTCGTTGTAGCCCCTATAGTAGGCCCGAAACCCCACACCCTACGGACCCTACTCGGAGGGCAGGGGGACGCAATAAGTAGGTGATACCTAAGTAGACTTAGAAGTGCCCTAGGCCGAGATCCTAATTGAAGCCCCGACCCTCCGAGCAAATCCCTAAACCTTCGAAACCGCCTTAAACGAGCCCTCAAACCCTGTAGATGTAGACCCTTGTAGTAGGCGCTTCCAGGATAGCCCCTATGGTAGGCCTTCAACCCCCACACCAGAACCTACGTTTGTGCAGGTTCTTAGTATGAACCCTAATATCGATTTTTTGGCACCCTGACAAATAAAGTAGGTTTTGGTAGGTCTTTTTCGGTAAAAAGTAGGGTTTTGGTAGGTTAAGGTAGGTTTTTTCTGCAAACAAGTAGGGTTTTGGTAGGTTTTTGGTCGACGCCCGTAAACCCTAAACCCTAAACCCTTTCCCAGGATCCCTACCTCCCATACGACCCCAACGAGCTGCCTCTGCTCTGCGCTCGGCTTTTCGCCCGTAGGGATCCGTTCTGTTTCGGCGCGAGTGTGAGGTTTACTTGGGGCTTGGGGTTTAGGGTTTAGGGTCTAGGGTTTAGGGTTTAGGGTTGAAGGGTTTAGGGTTTAGGGTTTAGGCATTGGCGCGGCTAGTAGCAGCAGCAGAATCAGCAGCACTATGGTGGATGATATAAATCCTCATAGTTTAGGGTCCGTAAGGTAACGCAGGGTTTATATCATCAACCGTACTACGTACCGCAGCGGTAGTGGTAGGTGGAGGACAGCATCAGCACCTGTTTTGCCACAGTCGCTGTCATATCCATCGTCAGTTCCCCCATGAATGTTCATTCTCACGACCACATAGCACAAGACCCTAATGCATCGCAACTCCTCCTCCTCCTCCTCCTCCCAAGCTCTGAATCTATGGACCCTAAACCCTAAACCCTAAATCCTGAACCCTAAAGCCTAAAGCCGAAACCCTAAATCCTATGGATCTGAAGCGTATAACCCTTTAGAGACCCTGGACGCCCTCCTTCCTTCCCATCCCCGTGAGGCCTGACCTCCAACACAGCGTCAACATGCGGCTATGGGCGTCCGAAGCCCAGGGAGCCCTTTTTTGCTTTGTGGTAATGAGTTCTCTAAATTCGGATCCCTTTATGGGATCCTCGTTATAAGGGTGCCGTAGTATTTTGGGGGGACCCAAAAAGGGGGACGCTAGTAATTAGAGAGCTACCCATGGTGGAGGAGAGGTTTGGGCCTTCAGGGTTTCGAGGTTTTGCTTTGCGTAGACTTTGAGGATTGAGGTCTCAAGGTTCGGGCTCAAGGTTTGAGGTTGTTGGTTTCAGTTTTGGGCTAGGGGTGTAAAGAGTGAAGGGCAGTAAGAGTCGAAGGTTTAGGGAAACATGAGCCAAGAAGCCGCAGGAGTTTTGATATTGAATAGTCTTGGAGCTTCAAGACTTTGGTTTGGGGTTTCGCGTTTAGGTGGCTATGCGACTTTTTGTGACCTCTGCGGCCTGAAGCTGTCAGAATTCAGCATGGCGAGAGTAATCACTGACAATGAGGGTCCTAGTAACCGCCGCAGCAGCATTGGTAGTCACGGTAGCTACGGTTGCTCACTCAGGGCATCTGTCAAATCAGAGCCTCTTGCTGTCTCCTCTGTGACGTGGGTAATCTGCCACAAGGGTCTTTCGAGGGGAATTCTAGCTCGAAGGTCGTCAAAACTGGCTGACTATGAGTCGCGGCTTGTCCTGAGTCCGAAATCTCCGGAATGCCAGCGACATTATGAATTGGGGCGAGTCCTCTTGAGCCGAGCAGTCAAGACTTGCCAGCAGCATCCCCATAGTGCCCCATAGTAGTCGAAGTAGTATCAGTAGCGGGTGTAAGAAGCGGCAGCAGCGAAGCAGTAGTCGTCGTCATTGTCGTCGTCATCATTGGCATAGGAAGTCGACATCGAAGATGGGACGGCGACATCTTCTTTGTCTTCTTCTTCTCTTGTTCTCCCTTTGTTTGCATCTTCATGCCTGCTCCTTGCTCTGGGATGCTTGCTGATGCTTGTGCTGCCGCTGCCACTGCCACCTTGGCTCTTGCTACTGCTACACTCTATCGCTGCTGCTTGACTGCAACCTGCATCCCCGTCCCCTTCCTCCCCCGCTTTCCACTGCCCTGCAGGTTCGGAGTCGTGCCCAGACTCTCCGACAGTCCGCCGCCGGATGTAGTGGTCAAGGCCGATCCAGTGCGCCAAAGGGAGATCAAGACAAAATCTGCAGCACAGTCGGCGATCGAGCTCGACTCCGACGAATACCTCCTAGCCACTGGCAAAAGACTAGGAATTGCATGCAAGCTTCGTAAGAGTGGTCGTTGCATCCCGACTGAGGGATCTCTTGAAGACCAGGCATTTGGTTTTATGGTCTCGGGTCTCGGTTGTGGGATGCATTTGTTTAGCAAGGGTCTAGAAGGTGCTTGCCGCGGATGTGTTTATAGTGCACTGGATATTCCGCCGTGTATGGGAACTTCGTTGATTAATCATGCTGGAAGTAACGGTATGCATACTAAGACTCTTGTCCATGGCATTGTGGCCGACGGCAGGAAGTCAACTTTACTCAGGACACGCTCAAAACCTGAGCGGTGGAGATAGGCCTGTGCTTCGATTGCATTGAGATACCTGGTTCGGACAAAACAGAGGAGCAGTATCAGTACAGATCGTGCTACACTGGAAGCAGCAATAATCTTCGGGACAAGCCAATGAAGGGCAGCGCTGGCACTGATCGTGTTCGAGAGCATTGTAATGGCATATCACTAGCTTACTAGAAGCGCCCTATGGTGCCGTGCCAGACTTTGAGGCCCGCTAGAGTCTACCACCACGCGACAGCACAGCACAGTCAAAACTATCTTGCCACGTGGCTAGCCATCGACTTACCCTGAACGACGGCCGCGACGACGGACGTTGCGGACAGTTTCGACGATGCCGACGGGGCCATCGACGACGACGATCCCGACCGGACTATTGACGATTTCGACCGAGCCGACGACGACGACAGCGGCGACGACAATGACAACCGCTGCTGCTATTCCTGCGACGACTACGACTACTACTGCTACAATACTAACTACCAGTACTACTTGTGCCACGTATGCTAGTAAGCGCCCGGAGCACCCAGAGCACTTGGCATTCGGGATCCGAGATTTACTGTTGGATGCTGTGTTTGGAGTTTTGGAAATCGAGGAGTTTGGGACTTCGGGGCTATTCCGGTGCTGAGCTCGAAGTTTCAGTCGTTGGAACACACCGCTCTGCACTCTACACTAGCCTCACCATGACAACAGCACCTGTTGCTGTTCCGCACTCTAAACCCTGAACTCAACGCTGCACTCTCCACGCGAAGCCCGAAGTTCATTCGTTCGGGGTGTAAAGCTTCGGACGAAATCGATGACGTTGAGAGTGTCGGTTCAAAAGCTCCTTGAACAACTTCCCATCGTCAACGGCGGCATCAGCACAAGAGTCACACTCTTTGGTCCCAAAGCCCCACATCCAGAAGCTGCCAACCCCTACTGACATGCAAAAGCACGAAGCAGCACACCCTGTTGCAGAACTACCAATGCCAGTTTCAGTGGAACCCATAGTTCTAAACCCTCAGCCGTTATTCACTGAGCCCACGGACTACACATCAGTGCGAAGGGAAGCGGACATCGCGAAGAGTCGTAGCCGCAGTTTAGGGTTTAATGGGGCATTCCTCTCCCCAAACCCGAGACAACTTGGTTTCATGTTCCTCTCGCACGCGCGTTGCCTCCGCTCTGTCGAAGGTCCTCGTTAGCGACTTGCTGCAGCGACCCGGGCGACGCGAAGTCGGACACTTTGGGGTATTTGGGTTCATGAAAGTTTACCTAGAACGCTTTGAAAGTTGTATGTGCCAGTACTGCGTTTATGAGTACGCAATATGTATCCATGCACATCAGCTGTACTGTTATATACTCACAAGTATTGTATGGTATTTATACTATATGTATATGTCATTATATTCACATATATATATATGTTTTATTGATATATGTAAACGAATAAATAGGCAAACACACACAGATGTATATATATATATATGTATACATCTATATATATATATGTTTATAGTCTCGTGATATATGTTTATAGTCTCGTGTGTGCATCCGTGTCTGGTTTGGCTCTATCGATTCTTGGCAAACATGAGTCGGGCTGGTAGCTTCCGGTATGGCAGAGTCACGCAGGAGTTGGGGTCACTCTCTAGTGCCAATAAGGCTGAGGAAGATCTAGGAAGGTGGATGAGAAAATGCAAGAAGTTGCTTTTTGCACTGATGAAGGAGGTTAAGGGACCCGTTTGGACATTGGACACGCAGATAGATCATCTTGGCTGGAAGGTGCAGGTATCAATCTCATGGCGGTGCAGGTGTTGGTGTGTGTGTGTGTGTGTGTGTCTGTGTTGTTAGTTGTTGCAGGCTCAGTTGCGCCTTTGTCAGACATGTTGGCATCTATGCATGATAGGATGGGTTCATGAAGTTTGCATTTCCGGGCGCCAGAAGTCCGGCATTTTCCTGCAAGCGCTGCAGCAGAGAATGTGTTCCACAAAGTGGAGCGGGCATGGACAAGAAGATATCTGGAAACTGAGTTGCGAAGCGGGCTCGCTTCAACAAAGAGCCAAGCAACGTAGCCGGCGAGGAAATCGATGTGCCAGGGCCCTGCTGAGATTGTGGTTGAGACCACGCAACTTCTTGTCACATGTTCCTTTGCGCAAAATTTTCCATATTAGAAGGCGGGATGGCTGTCAAGCTCCGCTGTACCAAGCATCTCAATGCCTCGGAAGAGGCGGAATCGTACCAAAACCCCCCGATGCCAGACTACACACCTTCGAATTCCAACAGTTAGTTCTACAAACGATAGATAGCGGTATATACCTCTAATCGTAGCCGTGAGTGACAGCACTGTACCAACAACACTGGTAGTAAAAGAGCAACGCGAATGGGAACGGCGCTCATCATGTTGCTATCAATGGTGACTGCAGGACGATCGGAGCACTACCTCTGTAGTGGAAAACACACTGCTAGTACAACTCATACAAACTCTAACACTGTTTTCGATGTATACCATTTGCACTAACACCGGTAGTCAGAGCACGTGCTGCACGCCCTGAAAATCCAAACCGAACAAACGAGTCAGAAGCTGAACTCGAATAGGAGCAGGGTCAGCTATTGTGTGCTAGATTTATTACTTGGCCGTCGAAGAATAGTACAGTAACCCTCTTTGTAGTAGTTTTTAACATCTAGAGTTTCTGAAAGACTATGGCTGCTAACAGCTGGCTAACAGCCATCCTTATCCTTCAAACTGGGGCCACGGTTGCAAAGGCAAAGCTCCTTTTGTCTGCTTGGACTCTGGACCTCATGTGTTTCCCCGATCCGGGGGAGAGTTCGAGGGCTTCGACGGGTCCCGAAGTCCCAAACCCCCAAAGCCCGAATCCCTCGTCTTCAACCCACCTTCAAGGCTAAAAAAACAAAAGTATGTATATATATATATATATTTTATGTATTCAACCCGAACCCTAGACCCACAACCGGAAGCCACATTCCCTCTAGACTCTGAGAGCGAACCAGCCCCGCAAGAACTCGGACGCAAGCCTCATCGACCTGGGCGGGCTAGGAACGCAGATCTTCGCCAGGAGGAGCAGGGGTACCACGCGAGACCCTTCTTGCCTGAAGGGCTGGTTTTCGATGCAAGGCTACCCTGAACCCGAAGCCCCAAGTGCGGATGGCTACGCTCAAAAGGAAGAGGCCCTACTCCGTAGGCCTAGGAAGCATGGGGTTTGCCGGATTTCATGTGAATCGGTTTTCAGATCCTCCAGATATCTTTAGATCATTTTGGCTGCCCAGCGAAGGTTTCGGGTCTTGGGTCTGGCACCATGTAATGGAATTTTCCTTTCATATTTACTCATGCTCATTATCCGTGGTTTGTTGAATATGAAGACTAACAACAGTAACGATGTCAATGGCAAGCATTTTGACTGTTGACTACTACTACGACGACGACGACGACGACTACCACTACCACTACCACTACTACCCACGACTGCGACTGCGACTGCGATTCCGACGACGGCGACGACTACGACGACGACGACTACTACTACGACTATTACGACTGCTACGACTACTACGACCACTACGGCCACAACGACTTCTACGACACGACGACGAGGACGACGAGGACGACGACAAGTAGTGTGTTTTTTTGTACCGTCTTCGCTAAGAATAAGCAGATGCGCGTGCGCTGTGCTCTTCGAAGGTTTGCTGTTTCACCCTGCACTTCGCTGTTTGCCATGGTACATGGCGCCAGCGTTTTGCTAATTGATCGTTTGGCGATCAGAACCTCCCATCATGCATCAGGGGAAGGTTTTTTCGGTAAGCTCACGAGGAGGAGTGGGAGACTGCAGGATTTAGAAATTGGTCGTTGGAGTTCAGCCATGGGAGGTCATTGCAAATGCAGTCAGCACGGTGCGCAAGAAGTTGGGGGGAAGTTCCTTATTTTGCTATTCAAGGCCTGTGCTTACTGTCCTGATTCGCTGATGGTCGCTTGCAGCTTCTAAGCTCGCGAAAGACGGAAGATCCCCCACCAGTCTCACTTAGCAGCAGTTAAGCGCCGAAGCAGACACGGCAAATTCGGAGAACGGCTTGCCAGCATGCCTGTGCCCTCTAGATATGCTGAGCAACCTCGGACAGCTGTGACCCTGGATTCCTGTGCCTTCTATACTGGGACAGAAGCCAGCATTTGCTGTTCAGTCACGTAACACGAGGTCCACCTGCCGCGCCCGGCCCATGCGCGCACGCACAGCCACACACACACACACACACAAAACACACAAACACAGCACCGCAACCCCAACCCCAAGACCCTCAACTGAGCCTTAATCTCAAATCGAAACACAATCAAACTCTCAATATTAGTATAGATCCTGGAAAGCCCAAAGCGCGAGCTGCTAAACTACTAAACCCTGAAAGCTTTTCAACAGCTGGCAGACCAGCCCTCCGCGAAGGGTGCTCGGCCACCGGGGCACCCCTTCTCTCGTGCCGCAAGACCCAGATGGGGAGGCAGAGGCAGTAAAATGAACGGCCGCGAGGGCACGAGCTTAGTTTAAGGCATAGTAACCGTAGTAGCAGAGGCAAAATGCTACCATACTATAGGAAGCAGCGCCTACTGGATATCCCTATGATATGGCAGCAATACCAGGAACAATGTGCGAATTAGGGGTCTCGCGTGTAGGCCTCTTTGAGGAGTTCAGGGTTTAGGGTTCAGGGCTCAGGAATGATTAGGGATCAGAGATTTCGGTTTAGGATTCAGAATTTGAACTAATTTACGGCTACAGCTTTACAGTTTTGGGTTTAGGTTTGATCTCAACGTTGTCAGGCTTTTGCACACGGCGCAACGCAATAATTTCCGTATCTCCTTCGAGTCTGGTCCCTTTCTAATGATTGTATAAAATACCTAATTCTATATGGGAGATTCCCATAATAGGGGTACCTGAAATTGGGGTCCTTATAACAAGGATCCTACTATTTGGGGTAATTACTGTATTAGGGTACCCTATTTTCGGAAACCCCCATATGCC